GCCTGCAGCTTCAAAGAGAAGCAGTTGCAAAAGTGGAAAAAAAGCACAAACAAACTCAAGGGGGGAAGGTCCTTGTTGTTCACCCCCTTCAGTTGTTGAAGGCAAAATTTACATATTGTACATTGAAAAAATCCTTACAGATTGCACAGGAAAGCACATTGGAATTGCTGCTTGATCTGCCCAAACACACTGGGTTTATCTTCAGTAATTATTAATAAAATAAATAATAAACATCCTTCTTGTGCATCCCCTTCAGTTGCTGAAGGTAAAATCTTTACACAGATTAGTGAAAAGTGCATTGGAATTGCTGCTGGATCTGCTCAAACAAACACACTGGGTTTATCTTCAGCATTTATTAATAAAATAAATAATAAACATCCTTCTTGTGCATCCCCTTCAGTTGTTGAAGGTAAAATCTTTACACAGATGAGTGAAAAGTACATTGGAATTGCTGCTGGATCTGCCCAAACACACTGGGTTTATCTTCAGCACTTATTAATAAAATAAATAATAAACATCCTTCTTGTGCACCCCCTTCAGTTGTTGAAGGTAAAATCTTAACACAGATTAGTGAAAAGTACATTGGAATTGCTGCTGGATCTGCCTCCTCACAGCCCAAACAAACACACTGGGTTTACCTTCAGTAAATATTAATAAAATAAATAATAAACATCCTTCTTGTGCATCCCCTTCAGTTGTTGAAGGTAAAATCTTTACACAGATGAGTGAAAAGTACATTGGAATTGCTGCTGGATGTGCTCAAATAAACACACTGGGTTTATCTTCAGTAATTATTAATAAAATAAATAATAAACATCCTTCTTGTGCACCCCCTTCAGTTGTTGAAGGTAAAATCTTAACACAGATTAGTGAAAAGTACATTGGAATTGCTGCTGGATCTGCCTCCTCACAGCCCAAATAAACACACTGGGTTTATTTTCAGCACATATTAACAGATAATTAATGTTTCTGCTCTGTACATGATGTGGAACTGTTAGAGGTTAACATCCTTCTTGTTCACCCCTTTCAGGTTTTGAAGGCAACAGAAGTGATTTAAGGAGAATTTGGGACAATTTCCCACTCTTTTTTTTTATTTGTGAGTAAATCCTGTGGCAAAATGAGCACCCCAAAAAGGCTGCAGGGGTGTTTCAGCCCCAGAAGTGATTTAAGGAGAATTTGGGACAATTTCCCACTCTTTTTTTTTTATTTGTGAGTAAATCCTGTGGCAAAATGAGCATTCCAAAAAGGCTGCAGGGGTATTTCACCCCCAGAAGTGACAGAGAAGCAATTTAAGGAGAATTTGGGACAATTTCCCACTTTTTTTTTTCCAGTTGTGAGTAAATTCCAGATTAGTGGAAAGCAACTTGGAGTTACTGCTGGATCTGCCTCCTCACAGCCCAAATAAACACCCTGGGTTTATTTTCAGCACATATTCATAGAATAATTAATGTTTCTGCTCTGTACATGATGTGGAACTGAGCTGCAGAGTTGGTAGAACAGAAACCAAAGCATTTCCCCCTGGAGTTGGCAGCTCTGACAGAAATCTGAGAGCCCAGTGAAATGTGCACTTCATGTTTGTAGCTCCTGCTCCTCTGAACAGCCTTCAGAGGCAGAATTTAGAATTTCTGCTCAAGATCTGAACTCATCCACGCTGTATTTGTCCCCATCTTTAAGACAGGGGTGCAATCTTTTGTGTCAGCCTAAGAAATAAAAAGGCTCAGTGAGAGATTCAGAAGATACAGTGGAAGAGTTGGGAGTTCCCACAAAGAACTTTTCAATGTACAGAGTTAGCACAGCCTCCTAAATATCCTGAAATTCATTTGGGGGACATAAAGGTCAAACAAGACTCTATAAAAAAAGGAAAACTTTCCAGGATCACCAATCCACTGTCACAAATATAACTTTGAAGGAGGCAGCTACAGAGGGACTCCAGCACAGGGCACTGTTCTGACTTTAAACTGCTCCACTCTTGCCACACTTTAAAAAAAAAAATACATTCATTAACCTGCAGCTCCTTAATTTCCATTGCCTCACAACCTGCAAGGTCATGAGAGTTAATTATTCTAGAAATGCCAGCACTGAACATGTTCTACCAAAAACAAAATATGCAGTGAAAGAACTATATATATAGTTACTATATATATATAATATATAGTATTATATATATATATTATATATAATATATATAAACATATATGAAATTATAAATATTTATTAGATATTGTATATATAGAGTTATTATATTTTAAAAAGGGTGTAATAAAAACTGGCACCCCAAATGCACATGAATCCAACAGTTTGTCACAGGATGCCAGAGTGCCACCAGAGCCTGTGACACAAACAGAGCTGGGAGAATGAGACAGCACCAGCACCTGCCAATTTTGGGATGTCTCAAAATGGATTTTACTTCATGGGCTGTGACAGAAGTGTCGGGGAAGCAATTTAAGGAGAATTTGGGACAATTTCCCACTCTTTTTTTAAATTGTGAGTAAGTTCTGTGGCAAAAGGAGCATTCCAAAAAGGCTGCAGGGGTGTTTCACCCCCAGAAGTGATTTAAGGAGAATTTGGGACAATTTTGCACTTTTTTTTTTTAATTTGTGAGTAAATCCTGTGGCAAAATTAGCATTCCAAAAAGGCTGCAGGGCTATTTCACCCCCAGAAGTGACAGGGAAGCAATTTAAGGAGATTTTGGGACAATTCCCCAACTTTTTTTTTTAATTTGTGAGTAAATCCTGTGGCAAAATTAGCACTCCAAAAAGGCTGCAGGGGTATTTCAGCCCTAGAAGTGACAGGGAAGCAATTTAAGGAGATTTTGGGACAATTTCCCACTCTTTTTTTAAATTGTAAGTAAATTCTGTGGCAAAAGGAGCATTCCAAAAAGGCTGCAAGGGTATTTCACCCCCAGAAGTGATTTAAGGAGAATTTGGGAAAATTTTGCACTCTTTTTTTTTTCATTTGTGAGTAAATCCTATGTTCAAAATGAGCACTCCTTTGGGTGCAGCCTCACAAGGCAAACCCTCAGAGTGGCACCAGTGTAAAAAAACACCCCAAAAACCAGTGTGAAAAAAGAAATACAACACTATAAACCCCACTCTCCTTGTTCATTTTTTATTTCAGTGAGTTTGGATGGAAATTAGGATCCTCAAAGATGGAAGGGAGAGAGTGCAGAGGAGGCCACAGAGCTGCAGGCTGGGAGTGCTCACCTGGAGAAGGATCCAGGGGGAGCTCAGAGCCCCTTGCAGGGCTTAAAGGGTTATAAAAATGAGCAAAAAGGATTTTTTACCAGAGCACAAAGTAACAGGACATGGGGCAATGGTTTTGAAATGACAGATGGCAGGGTTGGGTGGGATCTTGGGAAAGAATTGTTCACTGGGAGGGTGTGAGGCCCTGGCACAGGTGCCCAGAGCAGCTGGGGCTGCCCTGGATCCCTGGCAGTGCCCAAGGCCAGGCTGGACAGGGCTGGGATGGTGGAAGGTGTCCCTCCTATGGCACTGGGCCTATTTTGGGTCTATTCCAACCCAAACCATTCCATGGTTCCATGAGAACATTGCTCAGAATTCCCCCCCACCATAAATCCCCTTGCACTAAACTGGGGGGGTGAGGAGCTGAAACTCCTGAGCTCCCCAATCTTTGGACATCTGGGAATGAACACATTGAACAGATTGCCCAGAGCAGCTGGGGCTGCCCTGCATCCCTGGCAGTGTTGGGCAGGGCTTGGAGCACCCTGGGATGGTGGAAAGGGTCCCTGCCATGGCACTGGAGGAGTTTTTGGGTCTATTCCAACCCAAACCATTCCATGGTTCCATGAGAACATTGCTCAGAATTCCCCCCACCAAAAATCCCCTTGCACCTAAATTGGGGGGAAGAGGAGCTGAAACTCCTGAGCTCCCCAATCTTTGGATGCTTGGATTAAACACATGAAAAGAGATTGCCCAGAGCAGCTGGGGCTGCCCCTGGATCCCTGGCAGTGCCCAAGGAGCCACCTGAGGCAGTGGAAGGTGTCCCTGCCATGGCAGGGGTGGGACAAGATGAGCTCTAAGGTCTCTTCCAACCCAAACCACCCTGTGGCTCCATGAAACTTGAAACAGCTTCTAAACTTGGCTCTAGCACAGGCTGAGGACAGGCAGAAGAGCAAGACAAGACTGGGACTGGAACTGGAAAAGCAGCTTGAAGTTAAACTTGCTTTAGAATAGAAAACTCAGAGATTATTCAAGAGGAACACACCAGTCCAACTGCCTGAGCTCATCAGGGTCAACCAAGCTCGGGGCAGGGCCCAGCAAAAGCTGAATAAGCTGATTAGGACTTGGATATACAGCTCATACTGGGAACTTCTTCAGGCACCAAAATCATTTGGCCCCATATTTTAAAGCAGTCGTTTCACACTGCAGTTTCTCATCAGCTCTGCTTTCTGGAAAAATCCTCGTGGCTCCCTCACAACTCAGAATATTCTACGCTTCTGAGAAAAAAAACCCAAACTTTTTTACCTCCCTACAGGTGGCTTTGGTAAAATCTCACAGCGGACTGACCTCACAGCCATCCACTGCTTTCTGTTGCGCAGAAAAATATTTTAAAAATTATTCCCGACTGTTTTTATGGCAGCCAATTTCCTGAACCACCCCCGCGCCCACCCACCCACCTTGTCCGCCGTGCTGGGCGCCGGCTTCAGCTTCCCTTTGGCCATTAGCATCGCGTTGATCTTCGCCGCCACGGCCGCGGCCGCATCCAGCGCCCCCGAGGGCGCCGCCGAGCTCTCGGACCCGGCCACGGCGGCGGCGCCATCGCCGCCCCCACCGGGGAACGGCCGCCCGGGCAGCGGCGCCGTGCCGGGGAGGAGGAAATTAGGAGCCGGGCCGGGCTGATCCCACTTGCTGCGCCGCCTGGAAAAGACAGAGGGAGCGTGAGGCGCTGCTCCGAGGGACACCGGGGCCGCCCGAGCCGCCGCGGCCGCGCCTCACCCGCCCGCGGCCCCCGCGTCCCGCTGCGCTCCGCCGCCCGCCGACATGGCCGCCACGGCTGCCGGGCGTCACTTCCGGCTCCGCGCCCGCCGCGCGCCGCCGCTTCCGCCCGTTGCCATGGAGACGGCGCGGCCACTTCCGGTCGCTGCCATGGGGACGGACGTGGCACCGCGGGCCGGGGGTGGTGAGGGGGGAAAGGACCCCAAAGATCACCCAGATCACCCCGCTAATGTTCCCACGTGTGTTAGCCCAAGGATTATGCCGTTTTCCCAAAATTAAATGTAAATATGTAACTTTGTTTTGGCCCAGCTGGAGTTTGGATGCACCATGTTCCATTTTATCCCAAGGCAATACAGAAATTACAGCATCTAAAAAGACCCCAAAATCACCCCTTCTAATGTTTCCACCTGTATTATCCCAAGTATTGTGCCATTTTCCCAAAATTAAGTGTAAATATGTAACTTTGTTTTGGCCCAGCTGGAGTTTGGATGCACGGTGTGCCATTTTATCCCAAGGCAATACAGAAATTACAGCATCTAAAAAGACCCCAAAATCACCCCTTGTAATGTTTCCACCTGTATTATCCCAAGTATTGTGCCATTTTCCCAAAATTAAGTGTAAATATGTAACTTTGTTTTGGCCCAGCTGGAGTTTGGATGCACGGTGTGCCATTTTATCCCAAGGCAATACAGGAATTAAAGTGTCTGAAAGGACCCCAAAGATCACCTAGTGCAATCCCCTGTGAAAACCCAGTCACTGTCCTGTGAAAATGAAAAAAGTTTCATACAGGACAATAGGAGACAAAATAAAGTATTTTTAAATACCCCACAGGTATCCCTGTTACCTTTGGGAATACCCTTTAAAGACTTTTTTTATTATATTAGCTTGTTACATATTCATAAACATTTATGCGTAGTAATTTTTTTCCCCAAACTAATTTACATATTCCAAGAATTTTTTAGCATGGCTCCTCCTGGGGTCCACCTTTTTAGAGCATGCATATTCCTTGGCTGTGGTTTTAGTCCATTAGTTCATTATCATATTATCTATTATTATTATCTATTATTCTTAGTGCATTTAGTCCATATCACCTTCAGTTTTGGGCCTTGGCCTATATTTTCTTCAGACACTAAATGCTGATTGTGAAAAACACCAATCACTTGTTTTTAAAATTTTAAGTTTAATTGTAATAAAATGGTTATAAAAATAGGAATACAATTAGGGTAATAAAAAATTGGACATTTAGGATTAGGACCACACAAGATGTGAAAAATGGCAATCACTTGTTTTTAAAATGTTAAAAGTTTAATAGTAAAAAAATGGTTATAAAAATAGCAATATAATTAGAGTAATAAAAATTTGGACAATTTGGATTAGGAAAAGACAAGACAATAAAATCAAAGAGTTACAGGCATTCTGGGTACCTTTTTCTGGGTAAAATAAGCCTGGAAAAGGACCCACGTTAACAGAGGATTAACCCTTAAAAACAAGAACCTGTTGCATATTCATACACCTCATCCATGATGCATAAATTCCATTCAAACACAGGATTCTGTCTGGGCAGTGTCAACTTCTTCCTCTGAATCCTGACAGTGTCTCCAGGGCTGAGCGAGGCAGGATAAAGTTCATTTCTTCTGATAATGGAGCAATAAATTCTCTTTCTCTGAAAGATTTAGGTGTCCTGTGGCTGCCACCAGTGTGAGCACCTCATTCCTTTCTTCAAAAAGTGTCTAACATAGCATAGTTTCTATTTTAACATTAGGTTATAACCTAAAACTATATTTAACACACTACTTAAGAAAATACAGCATAACTTTCTAACAGAAAACATAATATTCATTTTAATATTTGCAAAAGCCAGTAATAAAATACGCATTTTCACACTGATAATTAGAATGTCAATAGCAGGGTCCTCATCCTATGTTCACTGGATGTTATCCCATCCAAGCAGGCATTTTAACACAAGCATAACTATTTTATTATTATATGTAAGCTTAATTAACAACAGAAATAAAACCCATACCTTTATAACAAAGTTATTTTAACATCACATATATAGAATCCATTTGAGTATTTGCGAAAAGCCAATATTATAACGTGTATCTATAACACGAGGGAATGGCTGGAGCTGTGTCAGCGAGGTTTAAATTGGATTATCAGGAAAGGTTCTTCCCCCAGAAGGGGATGGCGCTGACCCAAAGGTGCCAGAGCTCCAAAAGCGTTTGGACAACGCTCTCAGGGTGGGGTTTTTGGGGTGTCAGTACAGGACCAGCGATTAAAAATCAAAAAGAAAATCTTTGTAATTCCCTCACAGCCCAGAACGTTCCACAACCCCGACCCCTCACAGCCGGGCCGGGGCAGGGCTGCGCATGCGCGGTGCGCGCGGCGCCGGCTGAGGGCGAGCCCCGCCCCCTGCGTTTGCGCACGGCCCCGCGGCGGAGCCCGCTGAGGGCGAGGGCGGGAAAAGGCGCCCTGAGGGTGAGGGCGGGCGGTTCTCTCATCTCCTTTCCTTCAAATCCCTTCCTTCAAATCCCTTCCTTCATCTCCCTTCTCTCTCCTCACATTCTCCTGTAGTTTTTCTTCGATTTCCTCTCAACTCACCCACACCTCACCTCCGAGTTTTGTTGCCCGCCGCCCCGCGCTACTCCGCAGTGTTGTTGTGTCTTCGCGCCTGCCTCAGTTTTCCTCGAATCAGGTGGTGGTTTCTGGGCTGAGGCTGAGGGGGGAGGCTCCTTCCTCACAGCCTAACTCGGCCCTGTGCTGCCATGGCGGGGTTTATGGAGTCTTGCTGAGGGGATCTCGGTGCCTTTCGTGATCCAGACCTCATTTCTAACTTGGGGAAGGTGTTTTCCTCAGGTGTGGGTGAATTTGTTATTCCTGAGCTGGGGGGAAAGTTTGTGTGGAGTCAGGCTCGGGGTGGTGAGGGTTCTGTTTCTCCCGTACTCATTTAAATTACAGATGAAAACAACTCAAGTCTGGGGGTGTTTGAAATGTGTGGACAATTTTCATAAGGTCCTTTGAAAATCCTGTAGCTTGGGCACTAGTTACAGAGAACTGCCTTTGGATGTTCATATTTCATAGAAGTACAGATAGAAATGTTCTAATTATTGCGTCCTGTAGGCTCAGGGGAGGCCTGTGCTGCCGTGAAAATCAAGAATCTGATACTGGGGATGATTAGAGGAGCCATCCTGCTCTGTTTTGTGAAAAACACAGGTTTGTTTGAGCTGGTGAATTGTGCAGGAGGTGTTTGTAAATCCAGGGAATGCCCTGGAGAGCTGCAGCCCTTTTCCTTACCCAGGTGCTAATGCAGGTATTTCATTGACAGGTACAGGAATCTCTGCAGAATGGCAACTGCTCAGAAGCAAAAGAATTCTGTGGTATGGTTTTGTTTGTGGATTTCAGCACAATCATGGGGAAAATGGGGGAGTTTTGGCTGGAATAGTGCACCCAGGTGCTGTGTGATATTTCTTAATGTGAAAATAGCAGGGTAATTCAGTCTTTTAATTATGAATAAAGGATAGATATAAAAAAATTACAGAAAAATAATCTGGGCTTTGTTGTCATGCACTTGGTAGAAACCAGCTGTGTCCTACAAATCCTGTAACACCAAGTGCCAGGAATGTGCTGAACTTTCTGAATCACCAGAATGAATTGATTTCTTGCTGTGATTCTCAGAGTGCAGTTGTATTTCCCAAGAAAATCGCCACGGAGCAGCAATCCCTGATGCTGGTGAAGAGGCTCCTGGCAGTGGCAGTGTCCTGCATCACATACCTGAGGGGGATCTTCCCTGAAAGTGCCTATGGGACCAGATACATGGATGGTAAGGGGGAATTTATAAAAACTGTTTTTAAAGCCACCTGATCTTTTTAATGAATGGATGCCATTTTGGTGCATGTTATGGAAACTTCACATATGAATTAATTTAATTTTGGTAATATTTTGTTCAAAAATTTGTTAATTTTGCTGCTACTAGCTCAGCATTAAAGCTAAGCTCATGCTTGTGAGTAATTTTAGTTTCTTCTTGATATGTGCTCTGAGGCAATGAACTTTTCATTGCACTTTCTCCTGAGTAAATCTGTGTGTATTTTTTTGGTTTTTTTGAGATGTTTGTGTCAAAATTCTGCGAGAAGACAAAAACTCTCCAGGCTCTACCCAGCTGGTGAAATGGTAGGTTGATTGCAGCACACAGGTAAGACTTCCTCAGCAGCTCAATGCTCAAGGGTTCCTTCCTGCTTGTTTGCAGATAAAGGCAAAAAGTTCTCTCCCACATTTGTGTCACAGATGTAACCATGGAGTTTTCAGCTCAGGGCTTAGGAGAGCACAAATCTCTGTTTGCAGGGTGACTATACTAAATATTTATTAAATAAATACTAAAGATCTAACACTCTGTATTTGTATACCTCATTCCTCTGGGTGCTCATGAGCACTCAAGGGTGCCCAGAAATGCAAAAGTCTAAAAGCAGTTCCTCTCTAGTTGATCAGGAGACTCAAAGCCACCATTTTGCATCTTTCTATTTCAAGATCTCACTCACAGATTTTTTTAGGAGTGTTCAAAGGCAGAGCTGTGCCTGCCAGTGCCATTCTGCCTGTTTGAGCAGTGCCACACCTGGCTGGGATTGGCACCTGGCTGGGATTGGCACCTGGCACTGCAGCTGCTTCTTCTGCTTTTCTTCCTGCTCACAGTAGCTCTGAATTCTGTTCCAGGTGCCCTCCTTGCTTTTTAGAAACCTCTGTAAGCCTCAGTTACATATTCCTGTATTTTGTTACCTCCACAAAGGTTCTTTTCCCTTTTCCCCACTCATCCAAAGTGTGGGAGGGATGCTGCCTTCATCCCTGGCAGTGCTGAGGGGTTGGGATTTTGGGACAAGGATATTTGAGATATTCTGATATTCCATGTGGAGGGTGAAGCTTCACACCAGATTTATTTAGCTGAAGATACTGAATGTTACAGAAATTAGAGAAAATACACCAAAAAAACCCAAAAATACACACAAGAGAAATGAAAGCTGCACTTAGCAAAGCTTGAGGGCTGAGAGTTGATGTTAGAGTGGAATCAGCCCTGTGCTGTCACACGGTGAGGGAGGGGAAAAGCTGGAATTTCCTCCTGGATCTTGCCTGGCTGAGGAGATGGAAGGGGCAGCCCAGCTCTGCTTCCCCTGCCAGCAGCAGGACAGGCTCCCTGCTTTGGAGGGAAGGGCTGTGGGACCTCTTGGGAGTGGCCTTTTGTTCACACCAACCTGATTTTTATTTCTTGGCTGTAATTGAACATCAGGAATAAAAACAGGGTAAGTTTTGATTCCCTGGTTGAGTCCTGTACAAAAAGGAAATGGCAACACCTGAATAAAAGCCAGAACTCCTTTGTGCTTCAGCAGTGTTGCTGTTCAGCTGAATTACTGATTTATGAGAAAATCATGGAATGCTTTGGCTTGGGAGGGACCTTGAAGCTTCCTCCAGCCCTGTGCCATGGACACCTGCAATTAGACCAAGCTGTTCCCCTAATTAATGAATACAAGTGTTGGAAGGTGTTTGAAGCATTACAATATGTTCTTACTGATCAATGACTTACCTCCAGATTGTATTTTTAATTGATTTGCCTCCAGATTGTATTTTTAATTGATTTGCCTCCAGATTGTACTTTAAATTACTCTTTCAAGAGCTTGGGCTGATTTGGTGTTACACAGCTTGTATCACTGCTAAGAAGGTAGAATGATGGCTAAGTGTTATTTATTGCTCTAATACAGTCAAATGTCACAAAAATTTCATTTTTTGGTGCTATTAGTGAGAAACAAATGAAAATTAGCAGTAGCTGGCCAATGTTGTTTGGTTTTTGCAGGATGTTAGGATGCTATGATGCCTTGCAGAAGAAATACGTAAGTGCTCCAGTCTCATTTCAGTTGCATTGAGGTGTTGATTTCAGTCTGCCCAGGGGTAGCTGAGCTCAGTCAGCTGCAGTGTGGGATGCACAAACATTGCTGCACCAAATTCTTGTAAACAGCAGCACAGAAAGCCAGAGAGGGATCTGTGGGTGTTTTCTTCTGCAGCTGAATCCTCTCCTCCACAGGAGATTCTTGTAAACAGCAGCACAGAAAGCCAGAGAGATCTGTGGGTGTTTCTTCTGCAGCTGAATCCTCTCCTCCACAGGAGAGGAGTGAAGAGGAAGAAGTTTTTCTTCCTTAGCTGCCTGTGTTGGATTCCAGAGCTAGAGAAAAGCACTTTGGGCAGCACAAATGGGCAATGAAATATATTTAATGTTCTTTGTTTTTTGTTTTTTTGTTCTCTCTGTTTATGTTCCTGGCAGCTGAGACAGATTGTCCTAGCAGTGAGTATCTCTGAAAGGCAGGGACATGTTTTTAGGGATATTCTTTGAGGAATGTGTAGTTCTCATTGGGATTCCTCTGTTTTTCTTCCAAACCCCAGGTTTATACCCAGACAGAAGATCCTCAGGTAAATCTGCTGGAATATCTCACTGGTGATAATATGGGTACAGTGAAATGTGGGTACAGGCAGGAATATTGAACATGCACAGCTATAAAAAAGAGCATTTTGAAATAGCAGGGGTAAAAATGACTGGGTCAGTGGGAATTGCCATGTGTGGAATTGCTTTTGGGTATTCTCAGGCTGTGCATGAAACCAAAAAATCACTGCAGAGTGAAATGTCCCATCCTGACTCTGCCTGACAAATTTATGGACACTGTGGAAAACCCAAACCCACTGGGTGTCACCACCAATGCTCCGTTTTCATAGCTGTTGAAACTGGAATATTTTATGCTAAAAACTTCAGCTGATTTTCAAAATACTTTATCATGGTGATTGCTGGAAAGGAATCATCACTTTTATTAAGTTTGAAACAGTTTTGTGCATTTGTACTGTCAATTGTTGGAGGGTTAGGAAACTGTGTTCAGCACATGGGAGCTGGGCTGTAGTTATTCCTTCAGAGGTGGATAGATCAGTGGGCAGAGCTGCAGCAGGATGTTCAGGATGCATTTGATAATTCCTGGCTTTGTTTGCAGGCAGTCACAGAGTGTTACCACTTCAAGTTCAAGTACACCCACAATGGGCCACTCCTGGATTTTGGCAGGTACAGCCCTGGGACTGCTCCATGTCCCTTGGACACCATTTGATCTGTTTGCTTTTGAAATCCTGCATCTTGAAACTAATTTTATCAACATACTTACTAAAATACTATGAATAATTTTGTTGAATTATGCTCCTCATTTTAATATCCACCCAGCAGATGATGCTCAGTGTCAGAGTCTGATACTCTGTGAGGATATTTGAGATTTTCATGTGTGGGGGGTGAAGCTTCACACCAGATTGAATTATCTGAAGACACTGAATGTTACTGGAATTCCTCATTTAGCAGAAATCATAGAAAATACACCCAAAACCCAACAGAAATGTAATTTGTGATGCACAACTCAGTCATGGTGGAATTTCCAGTGCTGAGATAAGAACATTGGGCATCCCCAGCCATGGGGAGGGGATTCCTGGGTTGAAAGTGCAAAAGGGCAGGTTTGGGCTGCATGTCCAGGGCAGATTCCTCCTGGCAGGGTGGGCAGGCCCTGGCACAGGTGCCCAGAGCAGCTGGGGCTGCCCTGGATCCCTGGCAGTGCCCAAGGCCAGGCTGGAGCCACCTGGGATGGTGGCAGGGGTGGGATGGGATGGGATTTATGTTTCCACCCTAATAACTGGTGATTCTATGAAGCTGCTCCAGTCAATTCCTCTCTTCTTCAGAATTCCTTTGTTTGTTGTTGAGTTTTTACACTTTTTGAGCCAAACCCTTGCTTCAATTCCCTTGTAACAATCTGGCAAACTCAAGGAGACATTCAGGAGTTTTTAATGACCTGGGGGAGAAGCACTGGCCCCAGCAGTTCCCATTCAACCCCAGCAGTTCCCATTCAACCCCAGCAGTTTGTCTAAAGTGGGGACACAGCCCTGCTCCCCACATCTTCTCCAGACCCTTTTCCACCATGCTGGAAAGACCCCAACCCTAAAATAAAAGCCCCAAAAAACATCCTAAAAAACCCCAACGTTTTGCTCAGTCACAGCTACAGAGAAATGGCTTAAGAGAAGTAATTGAAATACAGTTAGTTCAAACTCCTCCCAGCTTCCCTCCTGCATAAAATGCTCCTTAAAATAGAAAAGGAATACCAGGGGATACTTGCCCTGCTCTGCAGGTGCTCAGGTGTGAGGAGCTGGGAAACAGAGGGAGAGGTTTTGGCACTGAGCTGGGATTTGGGTCAACTTCTGGTGGATTGGGAGCATGGAAATGTTGGACCTGGATGCCAAGAATCACTTGAGCACCAGGTTTGTTATCATTACCAATTGTGGGAAATAGATCTGTTGAAAATTTCCAGTGTTGAGGAGACATTTAGAGTGCCTAAATGTTTCTAAATTTGCAGTGTTGAGGAAATATTTAGAGAGCCTAAATGTGTTCAATGTTGAGGAAACTTCAAGAGTGCCTTTATTTAAGGGAAAGCACATAGGTAGGGCTTCCCAGAAGTGGGGCTTTCACAAGTTCCTCCTTTTGTCTTTCAGTATTTCCTTTGGGTATTTAGGCACTGTGTGATGTAGGATGGAGCAGTTGGTGCCAGCTGCTGATCCCTGAACTCTCCTGATGTCCCTGGCTCAGGCTTTGATCTCCCAAGGGGCAGAGAAGGTGCAGGGTTAGGAACTGCAGTGCTCAATCTCAGACCTCAGGCAATAAAATGTTTGTGAACAAACAGAGAGTGAAAGTGCTCACTCTATCAAAACTGACTGGAATCTACCATTATAGCCTGAGCTTGTGCTGAACCAAGCAGTGGCAAGTGTGGTGTCTCACCCCAGAGGCACTTTTGGCCAGCTGGGAGCTGCAGCCCAGGCCTGCAGGAGCTCTGGTGCTCCTCAGGTTTATCTCTGCCAGAGAAGCTTTGAGGCGATGGTGAAGGAAAGGAGTTGGTTCTGCTGGAGGGTTTGGATCCAGAGCTTTATTCTGGCCTCTGAATGCAGCACCAGCTCCAACAGAACTCCCTGAGCCCGTGGTTGCTGCTCCTTTAACCCCGGGGAGAGGGGCAGGGAAGGGGCAGGGAGGCACCAAGCAGGTACAGGAGGGGAGGGACAAAGGACACCTGGATGGCCCAATGCCCCCAGGGGTTTGAGTCTGGATTCCTTCTGGAGTTCCAGGAGTGACAGACAGCGCTGGGAGGGGAAAGGAGAGGTGACTGACACACCTGGCAGGGAATTATCAGGGGAGGGACCTGAGCTAAACCCTGAATTCACAACCCAACAAAACCTCCCATGGCTGCTGTGTGCTTTCAGCAAGGACAAGAAGTCCGAGTGCCCCATCAGCTGTGCCGACACCAAGAAGGCCAGCATCCTCCTGATCCGCAAGATCTACATCCTGATGCAGAACCTGAGCCCCCTGCCCAGCGACGTCTGCCTCACCATGAAACTGCTCTACTACGATGAGGGTATGCCCAAAAACCCCTTGGCCAGGAGCTCTTCCCCTGGCAGGATGAGAAGCCTCAGCTTCTCCATGTTTGCTCTTCTGGGATGTGGCCTGGAGATTGTTTATCCAAAGATGTGAATTGTTTTTAATTCATGACCAATCACAGCCAACTGTGTCAGACTCTCTGAGTCACTCAGGGGTTTTTATTATTAATTCTTTTCTAGACTTCTGATGTATCCTTTCTCTTTCTTTAGTATAGTTTTAGAATGTAATATAATGCGTGGTATATAATGCGTGGTATATAATGCGTGGTATATAATGCGTGGTATATAATGCGTGGTATATAATGCGTGGTATATAATGCGTGGTATATAATGCGTGGTATATAATGCGTGGTATATAATGCGTGGTATATAATGCGTGGTATATAATGCGTGGTATATAATGCGTGGTATATAATGCGTGGTATATAATGCGTGGTATATAATGCGTGGTATATAATGCGTGGTATATAATGCGTGGTATATAATGCGTGGTATATAATGCGTGGTATATAATGCGTGGTATATAATGCGTGGTATATAATGCGTGGTATATAATGCGTGGTATATAATGCGTGGTATATAATGCGTGGTATATAATGCGTGGTATATAATGCGTGGTATATAATGCGTGGTATATAATGCGTGGTATATAATGCGTGGTATATAATGCGTGGTATATAATGCGTGGTATATAATGCGTGGTATATAATGCGTGGTATATAATGCGTGGTATATAATGCGTGGTATATAATGCGTGGTATATAATGCGTGGTATATAATGCGTGGTATATAATGCGTGGTATATAATGCATACTATATAATGCATACTATATAATGCATACTATATAATGCATACTATATAATGCATACTATATAATGCATACTATATAATGCATACTATATAATGCATACTATATAATGCATACTATATAATGCATACTATATAATGCATACTATATAATGATGATTATATAATATAAGATGATAATATAATATATAATATATATACAATATTATATATTATATAATGTGTAACATAATACATTATATATTATATTGTATATAATATAATATATATTTTATTATATACAATGTATTATATAATTTATAATATAATAATAATAATCGGCCTTCTGAGAACATGGAGTCAAATTCTCACTCTCACCTGGTCCTGGGGACCTCCCAACACCCCAAGGTGACACTGCCATGTCACCCTGATTGATAGGCTGTGCAAAGCAAGCCAAACAAGGGCATTTTCCAGGTTTCAGTGGATAATGTTTGTGGTTGCTGGGACTTGTTCAGTGAGGCTGTTTCATGTGGGGCTGTTCCTCAGGACAGGTTGAATCCCAAGGGGAGGGGATGTGATCTCACTGCAGGAACACAATCCTGGCACTCACTGCATTTGGCTGGGTTTAAAACACTTGGAGTTTCCCAGAGTATGTCAGGCTATAGCATCATTTCCCAGCCTGGAGACTGTCCAAATACCTGGCTCTGCTTTCTGAGTGTGTTACTGCCTTACAATGGCAAATCAGAGCTTCTATTTCCCTCTCTGTATCTACAGCCTCTTCCAAGGAGCTTTACCAGGGCTTTGCCTGTTGTGCTTCATTTATCCAAACTGAATATTGAGTACTTCCCTCCCCACACACAATTTTTTGCAGTAACTCTGTATTTAAAGGAGAAAAGAGTTAAAATCAGTTTTACAAGAACATCTTTCATTGTCCCCCGTTTCATTTCTCTGCAGTTACCCCCCCTGATTACCAACCCCCAGGGTTCAAGGAGGCCAAGGACGAGGGGCTGCTGTTTAAGGAGGAGCCCATGTACCTCAACGTGGGGGAGGTGCCAACGCCTTTTCACCTGCTCAAACTGAAAATCACAACTGAGAAACAGCGCATGGAGAATGTTGATAAGAGCATCCTAAAGCAGGGAGAGACTGCTGAGCCTCTCCAGGTGTGTGGGCTGGGCAGAGCAGACCCACAGGAGGAGAGCCAGCTCATGAATGTAAGAGCACAGCCTTGCTTTTGGGGGGCTTTTTGAATTTTTTGTGGTGTATCATCTAGGAAAAGTCCATTATTGTTTCACTGTGTGTAAGCCATGACCCCCTCTATTTTCAGACATGCTTAAGGAAGACAATATGTCTTAAATTCATTTTTTTCCCTCATTTTACTGCTCCACTTTGCAGCCTGGCACTGGTGAAGCAATGCTGTGCACAAGGAGCAGCAGAGGCACAGCTCGTGCCATGGGGACCCTGCCATGTGTCCCAGCACAGGGCACAGGTGGAACCTCACCCTGCCATGTCACAATCAGTTATTTCAGTTTATTCCACCTCAAATCCATTTCACAAGTGTGTCCTAAATCATCTGAGTGGAAACTTCTTCCTTGTGTGGCTGCAGCCAGTGACACACCTGTTTCTTAATCTAGGAGGATCCTGTCTTGGATAATCAAGTGGAAGATGAGAATCATGGGAATATTTCAGAAGCTCGAGGTAATGTTTGATGTATTACATTTTATTTTTTCACTATATTATTTTTTCACTATATTATTTTTTCACTATATTATTTTTTCACTATATTATTTTTTCACTATATTATTTTTTCACTATATTATTTTTTCACTATATTATTTTTTCACTATATTATTTTTTCACTATATTATTTTTTCACTATATTATTTTTTCACTATATTATTTTTTCACTATATTTTTTTACACTATATTTTTTACACTATATTTTTTTACACTATATTTTTTTACACTATATTTTTTACACTATATTTTTTACACTATATTTTTTTACACTATATTTTTTTACACTATATTTTTTTACACTATATTATTTTTTCACTATATTATTTTTTCACTATATTATTTTTTCACTATATTATTTTTTCACTATATTATTTTTTCACTATATTATTTTTTCACTATATTATTTTTTCACTATATTATTTTTTCACTATATTTTTTTTCACTATATTTTTTTTCACTATATTTTTTTACACTATATTTTTTTACACTATATTTTTTTACACTATATTTTTTTACACTATATTTTTTTACACTATATTTTTTTACACTATATTTTTTTTACACTATATTTTTTTTACACTATATTTTTTTTACACTATATTTTTTTACACTATATTTTTTTTACACTATATTTTTTTTACACTATATTTTTTTTACACTATATTTTTTTTACACTATATTTTTTTTACACTATATTTTTTTACACTATATTTTTTTACACTATATTTTTTTACACTATTTTTTTACACTATATTTTTTTCACTATATTTTTTTCACTATAATTTTTTCACTATAATTTTTTCACTATAATTTTTTCACTATAATTTTTTCACTATTTTTTTTTCACTATTTTTTTTTCACTATTTTTTTTCACTATTTTTTTTCACTATTTTTTTTCCACTATATTATTTTTTCCACTATATTATTTTTTCCACTATATTATTTTTTCCACTATATTATTTTTTCCACTATATTATTTTTTCCACTATATTATTTTTTCCACTATATTATTTTTTCCACTATATTATTTTTTCCACTATATTATTTTTTCCACTATATTATTTTTTCCACTATATTATTTTTTCCACTATATTATTTTTTCCACTATATTATTTTTTCCACTATATTATTTTTTCCACTATATTATTTTTTCCACTATATTATTTTTTCCACTATATTATTTTTTCCACTATATTATTTTTTCCACTATATTATTTTTTCCACTATATTATTTTTTCCACTATATTATTTTTTCCACTATATTATTTTTTCCACTATATTATTTTTTCCACTATATTATTTTTTCCACTATATTATTTTTTCCACTATATTATTTTTTCCACTATATTATTTTTTCCACTATATTATTTTTTCCACTATATTATTTTTTCCACTATATTATTTTTTCCACTATATTATTTTTTCCACTATATTATTTTTTCCACTATATTATTTTTTCCACTATATTATTTTTTCCACTATATTATTTTTTCCACTATATTATTTTTTCCACTATATTATTTTTTCCACTATATTATTTTTTCCACTATATTATTTTTTCCACTATATTATTTTTTCCACTATATTATTTTTACACTATATTTTTTTTTCACTATATTATTTTTACACTATATTATTTTTACACTATATTTTTTTTCACTATATTTTTTTTTCCACTATATTTTTTTTTTCACTATATTTTTTTCACTATATATTTTTCACTATATTTTTTTCACTATTTTTATATTATTTTTATTATATTATTTCTATATTTATTATATTTTAATATTATATTCAACTTTTGTATAAGAATCTTCATTAGAATATATTTTTATAAGATATTTTTGTTAAATTATATAATAATTTTATATTTTTCAAAGCCCTCAATTGTCTCTATTTAGTTTTTCATCATTTCCTTCACATATATGACTGTGCCTTCATTTTCTATCAGGGCTTTATTCTGTAAAGCACTTGGTGAACAGATGTTAACATGTTAACACATGACTAACATGTTTTCATGTTACTGTTCAAAATTCTGATCTTCTGTTCCAGTTTATCAGCTAAGCTAAATTGAATGGGCTTTATATTTAGAAATAAATTTTATTTGCTTTTTCTACTCTTTTTTACTAATAATTACCGAGTTATTTAGTTTTTAATAACATTTAGTTTGCACATTAAGCTCCAAGAGGTTTTGTACTGTTGAGCTCATTACTGCAGACTTGGGAAGCAGAATTCTCTCTGCAAAAACCAGTGCTCTGGGTCTGTTTATTTGTTGTGGGGTTTTTTTGTTTAATTTCAGCTTTTTGAGCTTCAATTCCTCACCAATCCCACTTTTAGCCACCATTTTCCCTGCACTAGCCCGGGGCTGAGGAGGAGTTGAGAGCATCGGGGCTCTTTGTGCTGTGCTGGTCCCGGTGCAGCACCTGCAGAGGGAGCTGCTCGTGCCTCTCTCTGCTGTTCCTGCAGCAGAAACCTCACCAGAGTTTTGTTATATGAACAGAAGCTCACCAGAGTTTTGGTTCATGAACAGAAGCTCACCAGAGTTTTGGTTCATGAACAGAAGCTCACCAGAGTTTTGTTTTATGGACAGAGGCTTCACCAGAGTTTTGTTATATGAACAGAAACCTCACCAGAGTTTTAGTTTATGGACAGCAGCCTCACCAGAGTGTGTTTGGTTCATGAACAGCAGCCTCACCAGAGTGTGTTTTGTTATATGAACAGCAGCCTCACCAGAGTGTGTTTTGTTATATGAACAGAACCTCACCAGAGTGTGTTTTGGTTCATGAACAGAACCTCACCAGAGTGTGTTTTGGTTCATGAACAGAACCTCACCAGAGTGTGTTTTGGTTCATGAACAGCAGCCTCACCAGAGTGTGTTTTGGTTTATGAACAGAACCTCACCAGAGTGTGTTTTGGTTCATGAACAGAACCTCACCAGAGTGTGTTTTGGTTCATGAACAGAAGCTCACCAGAGTGTGTTTTGTTTCATGAACAGAACCTCACCAGAGTGTGTTTTGGTTTATGAACAGAAGCTCACCAGAGTGTGTTTTGTTATATGAACAGCAGCCTCACCAGAGTGTGTTTTGTTATATGAACAGAGGCCTCACCAGTGTTTTGTTCTATGAACAGAGGCCTCACCAGAGTGTGTTTTGGTTCATGAACAGAACCTCACCAGAGTGTGTTTTGGTTTCTGAACCATTCTGTGTTTGGCTCTGCTGTTTCCAGCTGGTTCCTGTGCTGCCCTTTCCCCGTGTGCTGCAGCACTTGGAGAATTGAAGGTGAACGGTTTTGGCATCACAGAATCCCAGAGTGGCTTGGGAGCACCTTCAAGCTCACCCAGTGCCACCCCTGCCATGGCAGGGACACCTTCCATGACCCCAGTGGCTCCTGGGCACTGCCAGGGGTCCAGGGGCACCCACAGCTTCTCCTCACAGCCTGCCAGGGAACAATTCCCAATTCCCAGTGTCCCACCCATCAGGGTAGAGCCATTCCCTGTGTCCTGCCCCTCCAGGCCTTGTCCAAAGTCCCTCTCTGAGCTCTCCTGGAGCCTTTTCTGCAGCCTGAACAACCCCAACTCTCTCAGCCTTTCCTTGCAGAGAACTTGAATAGCTACAAGTATTTTTGTTAGGATGAATCACACAAAAATGAATTTCCTCAAGTGTTTTTTTCCTATCACTGTAAATAAAATCTGGCAGTAAATAACTGTCCTGGCTCCTCCAGCCCTGGAAGCTCCCCACTGCTGGCTTTTAATCACAGCTCCAAAATGTGCACCCAATCTGTCTCCAGCTCAAAACATGAGACACCAAATTGTCCTCAGGCATCTCAGGAGCTTCCTTTTCTGATTTGAGATGAACCATCCTCTGCTTTTCCTCCTGCTTTGTGCTCACATTGCCCAGTTTAGCCCAGGGGCCTGAGGACTCAACTTTGCTGCCAAACAAACTGAAGAAGGAATTGCTGCTTGTTGATCTGCTCCTCTTGGAGAGGCTGGATAGAAGCATCCAGACAATCTGGAACCCATTTGCTGTACAGAAATGTTGGGTTTGGGTTTTTTTTTGTTTTTTTTTTTTGAGAAGAAACATGTGCAGCTTTGCCAAACCAGCTGCCATTTCCATGCTGTTGAAAAATAATGGTGCAAATGTGTAGCAAACAGCACATGTGGATCAGAATTTTGGTCTTGACAATTCTAGTAGGCTGCAGAACTGGAATAACCACATGAAGCTGTGCCTGATTCTTCTAAAGAGTCACAAAATTTCCAAAACCATGCAGAAATCCAGACAATTTCTTGCCCTGGGGAGCTGGCAAATGTTTCATTTACAGGAACTACGAGGCACAGGGAAAATCCATTTGTCAGCCTGGAATTCTTGTGCTGTTCCACAGCTGATGCAGGGTCACCCATTCACCATTCCCTGCTCCTGCCTGTGTCCCAGAAAAACAGCATGAATTAGGAACAGCAAAAACCTGCCTGGAGCTGCCTGTTCCCCCTGAGGATCTGTTCCTGCAGCTGCAGGCACTGAGGGGGCTCTGGGATTGCTCCTGGCTCGGGCTGGGAGGGCAGGGCTGGCCCAGAGTGGCTTTTTCCCTGTCCTGCAGCACAAAACAGGCTCGGGTTTGAATCAGATCCCCTCAGCAGGGCAGTGTGTGAGGGAGCTGGGGATCAAAGCCACTCCTGCAGAGATCCTGCAGTGAGCTGGAGGTTGGCAGAGTAAAGAATAAATTCAGAGCTTGGTGGAGTTCAGGGTGTGCTCTGTAAGGAGCTGTTCCCAGCAGTTGTAAAGTGTTCTTGGAGCAGAGCTGGTGGTGTTTGCTCTGGATTGTTGGTGTGTTAACAGCTGCATTGAACTCTCCAATTCTTCCCTTCTTGCAGAAAAGGATTCAGCTCATGAAGAGGAAGCTGGAGGGATCCAGACTCCCTCCCATGTTTCTAATCCTCAGGTAGGAACACTCTGCTCTGTCATCTTCAGCTGTTTCTGGAGCTTCTGTGCAGCTCCTTCCCTCCTCTGAGTGATTCATGGGTAATCTGCTGGAGCCTCATTTCCCACAGTCACTGTTTCCAGCAGCAAAATTCCTTTCCATTTCACTTCCTGGTGTTTTCCCAAACTATTCTAAAGCACTGACAAAAGGCTCTGAACTACAGCTCTCAAAACAAACAGGTGCTGGGACTGTTGCTGAGTGAGAAGGGGAATGTAATTTCCATGGTAATAAACTGCCTAATGGGAATTCCACTGCTGATTCTGACAAACCAAAGCTTGTTTAAAAGTCGATTAAAACTTACAAATTCAAGTTTATAACTCAGGTTATATTCCCTGCATGTAGAAATTGGTGGCATTTATACATGGAGGACTGCTTCACACAGGTCCTTAAGATTCCTTAAAACAGGAGAGCTGTAGGTAAGTGTCAGTGATTGCCTGGGTGAAACCAGCACGTGCTTCTCTCTGCCAGGGCCCTGTAAAAGCTGTGATTTCCAGGGCTTATCACCATTTCAATGCCCCCTATTTCAGTCTGAAGGCAGGCACTGTGCAGAGCAGTGAATGCCCCACACTGAGCACTGCTGGGTGTCTCCAGGGTTTGTTTTTTGCTGCTGTAACAAGGCAAAATCAATTTTCTGATTCCAGGTTGATCATTTGACCCGTAAAACATCTGAGCTGATTGTGTCAGAGAGCAGGACAAGAAGTGGAAAGATATTCCAAAGCTGCATTGTTAGTATCAATTTTTCTTTAATTCTCATCATTTCTGTTGCAAACAGTGAATAAAACTCAGAGCTTGAATGCATTTGCCATTGACAGAATGAAACTCTCATCACTTCCTAAATTCCCATTCAATTCCAACACTGTCAAAAAGAATTCCATCCCAAGGACTTGGCAGCTGATTTGATGCAGGTAACACAGGTTGAGATAAATTCCTTTAAATTCCTTAGTTTTAGTTGATATTTAGCCAAATTTCCTGCTGGTTTGACCCATCTGTGCCAGCACAGCTCACCCAGTGCTTCCTTGTGCTTCTCCTTGGGAAACACTGGGCCAAAATGATAACCTCACCCATGTGACTGCTTCATTCCAAGAAAAATCCCTTTTTTTTTAACTTAAATCAGGTCAGTCTGGCAGGCAGTGCTGCTTGTGGGGACCCAAACCTTCCCACCTGGCACAGCTGGAGCAGATGTTGTGTCCAGGCTGGAATTTGACCTTTGGGCCCCATGTCTGTGCTGCTCCTTCACTGACTGAGTCTGGCAGCTGCAGCTCTGGGAGCTTTTGGGGGCCTTCACCTGATATTTGGAATATTGGGAATGCTGAGAGAGGGGTAGATCCTTCTCCAAAACCTGTGGGGTGAATTTTTCTCTCTTTTTACACAGGAAACTGTTCCCTGTGAGGGTGGGGAATTCTCTGGAATTTCCAGAAAAGCTGTGGCTGCCCCTGCATCCCTGAAGTGTCCCAGGCCAGCTTGGGGCACCCTGGGACAGTGGAAGGTGTCCCTGCCATGGCAGGGGTGGCACTGGATGAGCTCTAAGGTCCCTTCCTGCTTCCAACCAGTCACATTCAGTGCTTTTTGTCACTCAGTGATGTAACAAAAAAAAAGAGAAGGTTGTTCTGTTTGCTCACCATCCCTGGGTACTTTTCAAAGAGATTTTACTGAATTAGTAATAAATTTATTAAACAAAACACAATTGCTTTAAATAACCAAAAGGACAGTGGAGCTAAAGGTTCATTGTCATCTTGGAATGGAAGTTAAAGGTTCAATGATGGAAGCTAAAGGTTCATGGTCATCTTGGAATGGAAGCTAAAGGTTCATTGATGGAAGCTAAAGGTTCATGGTCATCTTGGAATGGAAGCTAAAGGTTCATTGTCATCTTGGAATGGAAGCTAAAGGTTCATGGTCATCTTGGGATGGAAGCTAAAGGTTCATGGTCATCATTGAATGGAAGCTAAAGGTTCATTGATGGAAGCTAAAGGTTCATGGTCATCTTGGAATGGAAGTTAAAGGTTCATGGTCATCTTGGAATGGAAGCTAAAGGTTCATGGTCATCTTGGGATGGAAGCTAAAGGTTCATTGTTATCTTGGAATGGAAGCTAAAGGTTCATTGACATATTTGAATGGAAGCTAAAGGTTCATTGACATCTTGGAATGGAAGCTAAAGGTTCATGGTCATCTTGGGATGGAAGCTAAAGGTTCATTGATGGAAGCTAAAGGTTCATGGTCATCATTGAATGGAAGCTAAAGGTTCATTGATGGAAGCCAAAGGTTCATTGACATCTTGGAATGGAAGCTAAAGGTTCATTGACATTTGAATGGAAGCTAAAGGTTCATTGATGGAAGCTAAAGGTTCATGGTCATCTTGGAATGGAAGCTAAAGGTTCATTGATAGAAGCTAAAGGTTCATGGTCATCTTGGAATGGAAGTTAAAGGTTCATTGATGGAAGCTAAAGGTTCATGGTCATCATTGAATGGAAGTTAAAGGTTCATTGACATCTTGGGATGGAAGCTAAAGGTTCATGGTCATCTTCGGATGGAAGCTAAAGGTTCATGGTCATCTTGGGATGGAAGCTAAAGGTTCGTGGTCATCATTGAATGGAAGCTAAAGGTTCATTGATGGAAGCCAAAGGTTCATTGACATCTTGGAATGGAAGCTAAAGGTTCATTGTCACCTTGGAATGGAAGCTAAAGGTTCATTGACATTTGAATGGAAGCTAAAGGTTCATTGATGGAAGCTAAAGGTTCATGGTTCATCTTGGAATGGAAGCTAAAGGTTCATTGATGGAAGCTAAAGGTTCATGGTCATCTTGGAATGGAAGCTAAAGGTTCATTGACATTTGAATGGAAGCTAAAGGTTCATTGATGGAAGCTAAAGGTTCATGGTCATCTTGGAATGGAAGCTAAAGGTTCATTGCCATCTTTTCCTGAAGGCTCATGGTCATCTTTTCCTGGGACAGTCAGAAGCAGCAGCACTGAGCTCTCAGGGGGTTGTTGGTGCTGGGCAGCCTCTGCAGGGTGCAGAGCTGGAATCATGGAATGGTTTGGAGGAAGGGACCTTAAAGCCTGGCCAGGGTCACCTTCCACCATCCCAGGGTGCTCCCAGCCTGGCCTTGGACACTTCCAGGGATGGGGCATCCATGGAATCATCTGTGCCAGGGCCTCCCCACCTGACAGGGAATGATTTCTGTCTTATCTCCAACCTCAATTTCCCCTCTTCCAGTCTGAACCTCCCCACCTGACAGGGAATGATTTCTGTCTTATCTCCAACCTCAATTTCCCTCTTTCAGTCTGAACCTCCCCCCCTGACAGGGAAGGATTTCTCCCTTATCTCCAACCTCAATTTCCCTCTTCCAGTCTGAACCCACCACTCCTTGTCCTGTGCTGCAGTTCCTGCTGGCCACAGCTCCTTGCTGCAGCTGTGGCAGCAGGAAAACATCTCAGCCTTCCTCAGTGGGTCAGATCTGCCAGGAAATAGCATCCAGATGTTCCTGCAGGCCCAGCACAGCTGGGCAGGCACTGGGCTGAGGCTCTGGCTGTGTCCCAGCTCTGTCCTGCTGAGGGTGGCTGTGTCCTGTGCTGGCCCCACAGAGCTCCTGTAATTCCATTCTTGGTTTTCCTTGGCAGGTGCACCAGGCTGAGCCCCCCTCCAGCCAGGAGGTGCTGCCCAAAAGGAGGAAGCTCAGCGAGCCCAAGGAGCAGATTTAGTTGCCCAAAGGAGGAAGTTCAACAATTCCAAGGAGCAGATTTAGTTGCCCAAAGGATGAAGCCCAAGGACAGTTTTAGTTGCCCAAAAGATGAAGCTCAGCAAACCCAAGGAGCAGTTTTAGTTGCCCAAAGGATGAAGTTCAACAATTCCAAGGACAGTTTTAGTTGCCCAAAAGATGAAGCTCAGCAGTTCCAAGGAGCAGTTTTAGTTGCCCAAAAGGAGGAAGCTCAGCAGTTCCAAGGAGCAGTTTTAGTTGCCCAAAGGATGAAGCCCAAGGACAGTTTTAGTTGCCCAAAGGATGAAGCTCAGCAATTCCAAGGAGCAGTTTTAGTTTTCCAAAAGGAGGAAGCCCAAGGAGCAGATTTAGTTGCCCAAAGGATGAAGCTCAAGGAGCAGATTTAGTTTCCCAAAAGGATGAAGCCCAAGGAGCAGTTTTAGTTGCCCAAAGGATGAAGCCCAAGGACAGTTTTAGTTTCCCAAAGGAGGAAGCTCAGCAATTCCAAGGAACAGTTTTAGTTGCCCAAAGGATGAAGCTCAGCAATTCCAAGGAACAGTTTTAGTTTCCCAAAGGAGGAAGCTCAGCAATTCCAAGGAACAGTTTTAGTTGCCCAAAGGATGAAGCTCAGCAATTCCAAGGAGCAGTTTTAGTTGCCCAAAGGAAGAAGCTCAGCAATTCCAAGGAGCAGTTTTAGTTGCCCAAAGGATGAAGCCCAAGGAGCAGATTTAGTTGCCCAAAGGATGAAGCCCAAGGACAGTTTTAGTTGCCCAAAGGATGAAGCTCAGCAGTTCCAAGGAACAGTTTTTGTAGCCCATCTCCTGCTGTCCCAAGTTCTCCACTCCTGTTTGTTTGGTTGTTCACTGTTGGTTTGAAGGACCTGTTCTGCTCCATTAGCAATCTCATGGGGATGTTTTTTTAAGGAAGGAAAATGTCAGGAAGCCCAGCTTAAGAATTCCAGACTCCTTTTGTACAGGACCAGAAATCCTTGGATTTTGGGGGTTTGTGGGTTGGCTCCAGGTCCTGATGGTGATGGAGGAAATTCATCCCCCAGCACAAGGTTTCCCCAGTGCCTCTGGGCTCTGGTTCTGAGCTGAGGACCTGCCTGCCCCAGAACCTCTCCAGTTCTGGGGTGATTTCCAGAGCTTTCCACAGGGCTGGGCTGTCAGTTACAGGCTGTTACAGTTTTTGGGGTTACGGTTTTTGCTTTTCCTACCGGGACAGTTGGAGGAGTCGGATGCTTTGCATTTCTTCCAGAGCAGAAGCACCATCCTCAGGTGAAGAACGAGCCTTCTTCCTGCCTTGAATTCCAGGCTCTCTGCCAGCATGCAGGAATTTCGGTATCCGCGGCTCCTCTGCTCCGTTCCAAGGAGCACCGGCAGAGCCCGGCTGTGCTCAGGACGGTTTGAGGCAGGGGCGGGACACGGTACCGAGCCCCCCTGCACCCCCGAGCCGTTCGTGTTCAGGGAACGGGAGTGAAGCCGCTCCCGCCGGCAGGGCGGGGACAGCTGAACGTTCCTTGGCGGGTTTGGCTTTGAAATGAGCAATGTCCGTTCGTCATCGCTCCTCCATTAAACGGCGTTCAGCTTTGAGCGGCGTGCTCCGTTACCGGCGGCACCGGACGGGAGCGGGGAGAGGACGGGAACGGGAGGGGAGAGGGAGACGGGAACGGGACACCGGGATACGGGACACGGGATGGGAGAGGGAGACGGGAACGGGACACGGGATGGGAGAGGGAGACGGGATGGGAACGGGACACGGGATGGGAGAGGGAGACGGGATGGGAACGGGACACAAGACACGGCATGGGAGAGGGAGACGGGATGGGAACGGGATGGGAGAGGGAGACGGGATGGGAACGGGACACGGGATGGGAACGGGATGGAAGAGGGAGACGGGACGGGAACGGGACACGGGATGGGAACGGGAATGAGACACGGGATGGGAGAGGGAGACGGGATGGGAACGGGACACGGGATGAGAGAGGGAGACGGAACGGGACACGGGATGGGAGAGGGAGACGGGATGGGAACGGGACACGGGACAGGACGGGAATGGGATGGGACACGGGACAGGGATGGGAGAAGGAGACGGGACTGGGGCGGGGACGGGACGGGAATGGGATGGGAGAGGGAGACGGGACTGGAGCGGGGAAGGGACACGGGACAGGACATGGAATGGGACAGGAAACGGGACTGGAGCGGGAACGGGATTGGGATGGGACACGGGACAGGACTGGAGCGGGGATGTGACAAGGGACAGGACACAAAATGGGACACAGGACGGGACACGGAATGGTACATAGGAGGGGACACGGGACGGGACACGGAATGGTACATAGGAGGGGACACGGGACAGGACACGGAATGGGACACAGGACGGGACTGGAGCGGGGATGGGACACGGGACGGGACACGGAATGGGACACAGGAGGGGACACGGGACGGGACAAGAATTGAACCGGGACCGGGACAGGACACGCGGGCGGGGGCGGAGCCACCCCTTGACTGACATGAGGAAGTCCCGCCCCTCGACCCAGCCCGGCCGCACTCATTGGCTGCTCCGACCCGCACGGGCTCCCATTGGTCGGAGTCGCGTTGTGGGCGGGACCAGCGGAGGCCAGGAAGCGGCGGCGGCCCCGCGGAGGCTTTTCCTGCCCGCGGCCCCGGAACCCAGCGGGGCGGGCGGACCCGCCGGGCTGCGGTGAGGCCGGGCAGCGGTGAGGCCGGGCAGCGGGCGGGGGGCTTCGGCAGCCCCCACCCCCGTGGCGGGGGGGGGGGGGCGGATCTTCACCGGCGGGGCGCTGCAGCGGCGGGCGGGATGGAGCGGGGCTGGGCCGGGGGCTGGGATGGAGCCGGGCCGGGGCCGTGAGGGGTGGGACGGAGCCCGGGGGGGTGAGGCAGGGCCGGGCAGGGGCCGTGAGGGGTGGGACGGAGCCCGGGGGGTGAGGCAGAGCCGGACCGGGGCCGTGAGGGGTGGGACAGAGCCGGACCGGGGTTGGGAGCCCGGTGGGACAGGGGCGGTGGGACGGGGCCGTGCCCGGACGCTGCCGGGGGTGCGGGACCCGCCCTCAGGGGCTCGGGGGCTCCGCTGCTCCTCCCCTCAGAACCCGGGCTGCGACCGGCTCAGCGATGAGGGGGGACGGGGATCCCCGACACCCCCGGGAATGGGGAGCTGGGAGTCCGGGGGGGAAGGGACGAGAGCCCCTTGGGCTGGGGGTTTGGGTCTGGGGGAGCTGGGCCTGGGGGAGCTGGAAATCTTGGGGTAGGAGCGTCCCTTGGTCTGGGTGAGGGGGTTTGGGTCTGGGGTCTGGGAATGGTTGTTTGGGTCTGAGGGAAGGGATTTGGGTCTGGGGGAACTGGAAATCCTGGGGTAGAAGGGACAAGCACCTCTTAGTCTGGGAATGGGGGTTTGGATCTGGGGAAGCTGGAAATCCTGGGGTAGGAGCGTGCCTTGGTCTGGGGGAGGGGGTTTGGGGGTCTGGGTCTGGGGGAGCTGGAAATCCTGGGATGGAAGGGACGAGTTTCCCTTGGTCTGGGGAAGGGGGTTTGGGTCTGGGAATGGGGTTTGGGTCTGGGGTCTGGGAATGGGGGTTTGGGTGTGAGGGAGGGGCTCTGGGTTTGGCTCTGGGGTCTCAGCCCCGGTGCTCAGCGCCCCGTGCCCTCCGTGCAGCCGGAGATGACGACGCTGACGCACCGGGGCCGGCGGGCCGAGGGCCGGGGCTCCGAGAAGAAGGGGGAGGGTGAGGAGGAGGCTGCGGAGCGGGAGCTGAACGAGGACGAGCCCGATGACTCCAAAGACATCCGCCTGACCCTCATGGAGGAGGTGCTGCTCCTGGGGCTGAAGGACAAGGAGGTGAGGCTGGTGGGGCTCGTGGGCAGTGCTGTGGTCAAGCTGGGCTTGAGGCTCTCAGGGAGCAGCAGAAGGGATTGGATGGGTTCTTCTCAGTGTTCTCTCTTAGAACCTGCTTGGAATCACACAATCGTGGGATGGGTCAGGTTCAGAATTCACAGAATCACTGGGTTGGAAGAGACCTTAAAGATCATGGAGTCCAACCCAGCCCCAACACCTCAACTGAGGCAGGAGTGTTGGAAGGGACTGGAAAGTTCATCAAGTTCCAAACCCTCGCCATGGGCAGGGACACCTTCCACCATCCCAGCCTGCTCCAAGCCCTGTCCAGCCTGGCCTTGGACACTTCCAGAGATGGGCCAGCTGCTCTGGGCTCCCTGTGCCAGGAGATGTGACCTGAGCTGTGCCTGTGGCTGATAAGTGCTGTCCCAGCAGCTCTGCCTTGGGGACAGTGGCAGGAGGTGTGGGTGTACAAAACAAAGAGGGGTTTTTCTTTCCAGGGCTGAAGCCATGGGTAGATGGAGGCTCAGCTGCTTTATCAAAGGGTCAACATCCTTTCATCCTTCTCTGCAGCTCCAAAGCAGCAGCTGGCACACGGGGACACCATGGGCACTGCTCTGCTCTGCTCTTTAAAAATCCATGGGGGAAAGAGCAGAGGGAAGAGGCAGAGGGCAGCAGAGTCAGCTGGGCTGGGAGCTGGGAGCAGGCACAGGCTGAGTCTGGAGCCACAGTGGCCAGGGAACAGGAGCTGCATCTCTGCTGCCTCCCTGGGCCAGGCAGGGCTGGGGATGGGCAGCTCTGGCTGGGAATGGCACTGGGGGAGCTCCTCCTGTGTGCCTGTCACGCTGGGGGAAGGGGATCCTGGTCTAACAGAATGGGTTTGTGCTTATCAGCTGCTAGGAACTCGTTTGTCAGCTCTGCCTGGAAGGGGAGGATTCCTGGTGTGGGCTTCTCTGAGCTGTCTGTGCTGTCCCTGGGCCTTGTTTTCAGCCCTGCACCCATCTCCTGCATCAGCTTGGGCAGATCTTTGGCTGGGAGGGGGATGAGGTCCTGGCACAGGTTGTTCCATGGCTGCCCCATCCTGGGAGTGGCCCAGGCCAGCCTGGTGTGCTGGAACCTGTGTCTGCCATGAAGGGAATGGGATCAGTTGATCTTTAAGGTCTCTTCCAACCCAAAACATTCCACAGTTCTAAAATCTGCTATTCCTGACGAGTGGATGGGGAATTGCAGAGCAGGGGAAGCCAACCAGGTGCCCAAGGTGCTTTTTGGGGTGGCAGTGGCAGAGCAGAAGCTTCTAGAGAGGCTTTCCAGCTCCAGGAGCCCACTTTGGTCAAGATTGAACTCAAGATTGAGCTCAATGATCCTGGAGATCTTTTCCAGCTGTAACTATTCCATGATTCCTGTGTGATCCTCTCCCACCCTGAGGAGCTGGGCTGGATGTCCTCCTCCTCTTCCTCCCTCAGGGCTGGAGTTAAACCTTTGTGAGGTGCCAGAACCTTCTTTGCAGCAGGGCTCTGCAGTTGTGGGCTGCTCCCAGCTGGTGCTGAGCTGTGCCACGGATCCAGCCCAGGCTGTGACAGTGACAAGGGCTGGGGCTGTCCTGTTCCAGAGCCCCAGATAAGATCTAGGAGCCAACTAGGAAGTGGCAGGAGCTCAGGGCTGTAAAGGGAACACAATGCAAATAATCCTGGAGCAAATATTTGAGAGCAGCCTGGGAGTGGGGTGCCATGGGCTGCTTTTCTCCTGGGCTGTGTTTGGTGTTCTTGGTTAATGGATCCTGGGAATGGCCCTTCAGCCACCAGGAACCTGGGAGAGCACAACAAACAGGGAAAAAACACACAAAAAAACCTTGTCAAGCTTTTCTTTTTTTTTTTTGTTTGTTTTTATTCCATCCTGTCCTTCCACATTCCTGTAGCTCACAACCAGAGGCAGCAGCAGCCTGGCCTTGAGCTGGGCTCTGTTTTCACAGCTCAGGTGTTCACTCATGCTTTGATGACTGGGGAAAAACAAGATGATTTTTGCCAAATTCAATGAGCTCACGCTGTCATTTCATTATTTAAAGTACCAGCCTGTCCATGTAGGAGGACCTGGCTGCAAACCAGCCTGGCTTTTATAACCAGTCTGATTCCAGAAGCTGGAAATAACCCAGGAGCTTTGGAATTTCAAATTTCCTGGGGGTAACGTGCCCTTGAGGCCAGGAAATTGAAACCTTTGCTCATCTTCACACCCTTTCCTGGAGAACTTGTTTGTAAAAGCCAGGAGCAAAATCCAGGAAAGGAAACCAGGAGGGCAGGGATGAAAGGTTGCTTTGTGTTCCTGCACAAGGAGGTGGAGAAAGCAAATAAAAAAAATCTTCATTTCTTTTATGGTTCCCTGTACAGGGCAAGCCCAGTGAGCACACGTCCTGCTCAAACAGAGCCACAGGGGATGGGAATTCACCCCTGGGGAGGAAAAACCTTCCCTGGGGAGGGCTGGGGCTTCCCAGCCTGTTTGCCTTGGGAAGGGCTTCACTTTTTCTGCAGGCTCCTGGTGGCAGGAGACTGGAGAAAGGAGCTCCTTTCAGGTCCTTCCCTCCTTGTTTTCCATGCAGAGAAAGAGCAGAAAGGGAGGAAAGAAAGCAGCAGAAAGAGCAGCAGAAGGGGAGGGGGAAAAGGGCAGAAAAGGAGGAAAAAAAGCAGCAGAAAAGGAGGAAAAAAAGGGCAGAAAGGGAAGAAAGCAAGCAGCAGAAAGGGAGGAAAAAAGAGCAGAAAGGGCAGCAGAAAGAGAGGGAAAAAGAGCAGAAAGGGCAGCAGAAAGGGAGGCAAGAAAGCAGTAGAAAGGGGAGGGAAAAAAGCAGAAAAAGGAGCAGAAAAGTAGGGGAAAAGAGCAGCAAAAGGGGAGGAAAAAAAAAGCAGAAAGGGAGGGAAAAAAGAGCAGAAAGGGAGGGAAAAAGAGCAGAAAGGGAGGAAAAAAAGCAGCAGAAAAGGAGGAAAAAAAAGAGCAGAAAGGGAGGAAAAAAAGCAGCAGAAAAGGAGGGGAAAAAAGGGCAGAAAGGAGGAAAAAAAGCAGCAGAAAAGGAGGAAAAAAAGAGCAGAAAGGGAAGAAAGCAAGCAGCAGAAAGGGAGGAAAAAAGAGCAAAAAGGGCAGCAGAAAGAGAGGGAAAAAGAGCAGAAAGGGCAGCAGAAAGGGAGGCAAGAAAGCAGTAGAAAGGGAGGGAAAAAAGCAGAAAAAGGAGCAGAAAAGGAGGAGAAAAGAGCAAAAAGAGCAGCAAAAGGGGAG